CTTGGCCCGTCTTGGTGGCATCTTGGGCCGTCTGGAGGCCGTCTCAGATGGTGCACGCGGTGCTTCCCTAGTAGTCAAGCTCAAACCCATACTCCAGGAGCAACAGGGGTTGAGCCTGAACCCTTGAGCCTGAGCTCTCTCTCTCTTTCTCTGTTTGTTGGGGGTGCGGGGCGGGGCGCCCCCTGTTTTTCGTGTTTTGCCCCGCGGCCCGTTGGCGACGCCACCAAAATGCTGCTCGGGCGTCCGCCCAAACTGTCTTCGCACGCATACACGCATGTAGCCAGGAGAATCCGCCACCGTGCCTCCGGAAACGCCCAGGCGTGGAGGGACGCCAAGTGCTGTCTGGCAGGGTTTCTGTGCTCTCCAACGTTTTAAAACGCACGCCTCCGACCGAGAACTGATGGGGACCGAAAGACGCACCTCCCACCGGCCAGACGGATTACCATTACCTCATCGAGTAGTACATCAAGTAGTCATCGAGTAGTCGCATTATCATTACTTCATCGATGAGTACAGGTGTCATACTTACGATTATTGTAGCTATTTCTTCTTACTACATTAGTATCTGGGTTTACATCCATGTATCGTATTACCACTACGGCTAGTAGTACTAGCAGTACTCGTAGTACTAGTACTAGTTGTCGTAGTCTTACTAGTGATTCACATTGGTGCCAGCCATTAGGTGCCCACGGTCGTCGGTCCGACGACGGGAACTGGTGCCAGCCATTCGGTGCCCCCGTCGTTCGCCGCCCAGACCACCCAGACGGCCAAAAAACATCCTCTCCCACCTCTTCCCCATCATCACCGCCGCCGTTCCCATCATCATCGTCATCGACGTCACCGTCGTCATCGTCATTCGAACAGTCGCCACCCGTAGCGCTGGGCAGGCACGGCGGCGGGGCTTGCCGCAGGCAGGTGGGTAGACAGAGCTGCGCTGATGTTAACATGCGCTGCACTGAAAGATGGCCTCGCGGACATCAGTAGCGTCTAGACGCCCGCTGCTCAGACGGGCCCCGAATATGCTAGCACCTCGCCCTTCTGGATGGGCGTCGTGTTCACGAAGCACGGAACAAGCACAGCAGCGTCGGCGTTCGCAAGTTTCCTGGTCTTCTTAGGTTTCTCACCATCAACGGAAAACGAGCAAGTCGGGACCGTCATCCGGAATAACTTGGCCACCATGTTCGCCCTCTCCGGGTTCGTTTCGAGCACCGCCCAAAACGGGCTGGGCGCTTTGAGTTTAGCCAGGGAGGACACGCCAGCCAACGGGGAGCGAATCAAAAACTTCGCTGTGTCCTCCATGTCAAAAGCGCCGCTCTCCACCGTAGCCATAAAGGGCAGGGCCGGATGCATGGACTTGGGCCGCTTGAGTTTGGCGCCCTCGGCGAACTCGTGGATGTTGGCTACGTTCGGGGCCCCCATGTCTGGCGCCAACATGAGCTCGCTGGGGGCGAAGCTTTTCTTGGCGCGCGCTTGGAAGACCATCGGGAAAGACTCCTCGAGAGCGTGGACTTCCACGCCGGTGGATCCGGAGGCGGTCTTCGTCAACATCTGGACCAGGCCCTGCGCCGCAAAGAGTTTCCACAAGTCGTTCCCTGTGGGTCTGGGGCCTGGCTCCAAGCGAACCATTCCGTCCGTGGGGACATCCCACACGGGCCGGGAAGCGCTCGCCTTCAGGGGGCAGGCAAGGATGGAGGAGAAGCAGGACCTGGCAGGTGTAGGAATGAGTCGCCTGAGCTGCGGCGCCGCCGCCGGGCGCCGCAGGCGCAGCGCCGTCGGGAGGTCCGGGGCCGCCGTCGGGCGCGGCAGGCGCAGCGCCGTCGGGAGGCGCAGGGCCACCGCCGACCGAAGAAAGGAGGCGGGTTCCAAGGGGGAAACAGGGAAGGAATGGCGTGAGAGGTCGGAGTCGAGGAAGAGTTGGAGGAGGAAGGGGAGGAGAAAGAGGAGGAGGAGGAGGGGAGGGAAGGGGAAGGCGTTTTTTTTTTTTTTTTTTTTTTTTTTTTTTTTTTTTTTTTTTTTTTTTTTTTTTTTTTTTTTTTTTTTTTTTTTTTTTTTTTTTTTTTTTTTTTTTTTTTTTTTTTTTTTTTTTTTTTTTTTTTTTTTTTTTTTTTTTTTTTTTTTTTTTTTTTTTTTTTTTTTTTTTCTCCTCTCTTTTTTTTATTTTTTTCTTTTTGTTTTCTTTTCTTTGTTTTTTTCTTTCTTTTTTTTTCGGGGGGGCCTCCGTGACATCTCTGGTGGGGTCTGGCTCGTTTTCTGACACGCGGTGCCTGGGTATGGCCAGAGTATCCGAAGTTGTACCCGTTTTCTGACTGCAACACCTCGCCATCTTTCGGTGATGGTCGCCGTCGCTTTCCATCAGCACCTGCAGCCGCTGCTGGCCGCTTCATCGCGGCATCCTGTGGGTCGGTGAACCCCTACCAGCCTTTAGCGCCAGGATTTCCATTGCAATTTCCATTGCAATGGAACTTGCGATGGAAATGCCAGCTTGCAGTGCCCCCCATGGATACCCTGAGGTCCACGTCCTGTGTTGCAGAGCTCGAGCGGAAAACCCGCACTGCCCAAGATGCTTTCCTGGCGAAGCCGCTCAGAGACGAGTGGTTGCATTCGCCCAGGGTGCCTATGTATACCTCGTGGTACCACTGCGGCCCCGAGTGCAATGCGACCACCCACCCCCGAATCGGTTTCGACCCGCGGCTGTCTTGAACACTGCTTGGCCAGCGTGGCGGAGGAGATTCCTGAGTTGCTTAGACGTGTCTAGGACCCAATTCTCGGCCTGGTCGGCTAGATGCCACCGCTCCTCGTTGCGCTCGACCAGGGTCCAGAGTATAGTCTCGATGCCGGCCCCGAATTTCCGCCCCGAATTTCGGCCGCGTTCGCCCGTCGACTGCGGGCCTGCCCGCGGGCCTACCCGTCGACTGCGCCGCGTAGCTTGCGCCAAGTAGATTGCACCATGGAGCCAGCGCCGCATGGATTGCACCGCAAATCCCGAAGACCGCGCGAATCGGGGCCCACGCTGGCTCGCGCCAGGCGCAAGGCATCGCGAGGAAGCGTGCGTGGCAAGAGAAGCGCATTGCGGGCACACGCCCGCCCTGGCCAGCGAATCCCCGCCCTGGCTCGCAAGCCCCGCCCGGACCAGCGAAGCCCCGCCCTGACGAGTCACCCCCCCGCCCTGACTGGCGAAGCCCCGCCCTATCTGGGCCATCCCAGGGACTCAGAAGAAACGCGCCGCCTGGGGGCGCGAGCCCTCGCCGAGCGGACGAGCCAAGGCTTGAACCAAAATTGCGACAAGGAGCTGGGGATGAGGAAGGAGGGAACGGGGACCTCGCCCAGGCCCCTGCGCCCGGCAGGCCGCGCGCCCGCAGCGGCGGGGCCCTCGGCAACGCCCGCGGGCGCGCCGGCGTCGCCCTCGGCTCCAGGGAGGGAGACCTGCAGGCGAGAAAGCAAGTGAGGGGGGCGAGGGGGCGTGGCGGGCGGAGGGGAGGGAGAGGGGGGAGAGGGGGCAGGGGGAGAGGGAGGAGAGAGAGGGGGGAGTGGGGGAAGGAGCAGCAGGCGGGGGGCGTGCGGGGGGAGGGGGAGGGGGAAGGAGGGAGTGTGGCGGGAAGAAGGAGGGGGGGAAGGAGGAGAGAAGCGAAAGGGGGAGGGGGCGGGCGGCAGGAAGGAGGGCGCCTCGGCGTACGGGGCCAGCTCCTCCGTCGGCCGCGCTGCCCTGGCCTTCGCCTTGGTCCTGGCGTCGTCGGCCGCGGTGCCGGCCGTCGTGAGGACCTCCGGCTGCGGGAAGAGCGGGTCCGGCTTGCTGTCCAAGCCGCCGCACTCCAGCAGGTCGGTCACGTACTTCTCCTCCACACCGGCGAGCGCCGCGGTGACGCCAAAGTTCGACGAGGGCCACTTGAGGAGCAACTTGCCAATTCTATGGAACAGCTTGGCTCTGGCCTGCAACAACGACTTGGGGAACGCCTTCTTCTGATCCACAGCGTGGCCGCGCAGCACGTCCTTCAGGAATGCCTCGGCGCGGTCCCGCGCCGCGGAGTTGCCCGCCAAGGCTTTCAAGGCATCTGCTTTTGGGGCCGGGGCAAACGCCGCGACCCCGCCGGACTGCCGTCGAAGTGAACCAGGCTTGCCAATGGCGGCGAAGTGCGTAGTCACCACCATACACACTTTGACATACGGATGCGTTGCCCCAAGTTTAGCCGCTGCACCAAAATCCCGGGGTCGGACGCGCAGCAGAGCGGCCGGCACGACCGCGAAGTGCACTTGGCAAAGATTGTTGAGCAAGGGCGTCGGGACCCTGATGGCGTAATTGTACAAGTTCGTCATGTCCGCCTCTGAGTAGGCCTGGCTGCCGAAGCGTTTCTGCGCCATCTGCAACACCCGTCGGAACCGCTCCTGCGGCTCCAGCTTGGTGTCCTTCGTGTCGTCCAAGAATTTCCGAAGAGCCTGCAGTCCGCCACCGTGCCTCCCGGCACGTCGGAGCGTGGAAGAATGCCAAGCGCTGTCTGGCAAAAGTTCCGTAGTCTTCTAAGCCCCCCCCCCCTCCCCCCCCGGCACTAACGCCCAGGGGTAAGCGCCACCCCTGGCGCGACGCGGCCGCTCGGCGCCTCCAAGACGGCCCCCAAAGACCCCCGTCGGGCGGCCAGGAAGGCCCCGAGACGCCCCACGACAGCCCCAACACGGCCCGAGAGGCTTCAGAATGGCCCAAGAAGGCGCCAAGGTGCCCCACAGGAGCCCCGGACAACCCCAAGGCGGCCTGCGTGAGCTCCATGACACTGTACGAAAAGCAGCTCAAGTGACAGCCTGGATCGGACTCGTCCTCCTCCTCATCGCCATCGTCGCCGTCCCGAACATCAACATCATCATCATCATCGCCACCATCATCATTATCATCATCATCAACATCATCATCGCTATCGCCCCCGCCATCATCATGACTATCATCATTCGAACAGTCGCCACCCAAGGTGCGGGGCTGGCACGGTGGCGGGACTTGCCGCAGGCAGCTGGATAACTCGATCTCAGACGAAGCTAAGTCGGTGCTCGCGTCCATGTTGTCTTCGCCCACGAGGGCTTCCAGGGATTCGGAATCCGCCCATAAGTCCTCGCGCATCACTTCACATGCCATTCCTTCCGCCAGATGTTGCTCGAGTCCGCCAGCCCGTCGGGGCATGGGCTCGCTAGAATCTCCAGTAGTATATAAACGTGGCAGTCTGGCGAGCGCCGCAGAGAGCCCCAGGGGCGGCCCGATGAAACCGCGACTGGCCGCGCAAGGCGTCGAGGTCCTAAACCGTAGCAACCCCGTACTTGCGCCCACCGCGTGCCCATGAGAAGTTACGCCTAAGCGAAGCGCGACGCATGCCCTGAGGGCCAACTGGCCCCCTGAGCGCCCGACGAAACCCAGACGGGGCTCTCCAGACCCCCTAAAAAGAAAGCCTCCGAAGGGCCCCCGGGACCAAGACCCTGAAGGCCATGGCTGGCCCAGCATAGACGGGCGGATGAGCGAAGCGAACGGATAATTTGTCATGTGGGCTTGGCTCGATGACCTCGCGGGTCCCATTCAAGAAGTGCGAGCGGCAGTCGTAGAGCTTGAGCGCGTGTGCGAAATGGTTTTTCGTCAGCAAGGCATACCGCATGCTACTGTCGAAGGGGGGCAGTAAGTCATCGCCGTCGCACATGCGCCTGTTGTATTCGCGAAACTCGTCGAGGCTGGCCGTTGGCACCTTCACCACGGTCGCATCACGATACCTCCTCCTGGAAAGGCCGTCGGTCTTGATACTCTGCACGATTTCATGGACGTGGTACCCGCTAACGCCCAGTCCGCTGCGGTTGCACGGCACTGTCCCGAGATACTTTGGCAAGATGAACTGAATTCCGCCCGTCGAATGACGAGCTCTCGCTGCCTCGGCAATGCTGGCAATAGGAACAGGGACCGGCCGCGAATCCAACTCCTGTCGGCGGCACACCCAAGGAGATAGGGGAAAGGGGGGGTCTTATCAGACAGGATTGCGTTTCTTAGATGCCTTCTGAAGCCCCGCAGGGGGCTTCTAAGAAACACCCCCTCCTTCTAAGAAGCCACCCGTGCCCCCAACCCCTTTGGCGAGCCGCCGATCTTTATCCGCCATCGCGCCAGGGCTCGCCAGAGCCGGGTTGTCGAGGCGAATGCCGGAGCAGGCGGTGCACGCAACAAGAGCGAGAAATGCGCGCATGAGCGCAAGCATATCCTGGAAGACGAAGGCCACGAGCCAAAACAGCTATAAGAGATGACGAAGACGACAATGACAATGACGATGGCCCTCCTCCTCCTCCCTCCCTCCTCCTTCCTCCTCCCTCCCCCTCCTCCTCCTTCCTCCCTCCCTCCTCCCTCCGCCTCCTCCCTCATCCTCCTCCCTCATCCTCCTCCCTCGCCCTCCTCCCTCATCCTCCTCATTCACTCCCTCCCCCCTCGTCCTCCTCCCATCCTCCTCCGTCATTCTCCCTCCTGCCTCATCCTCCTCCTGCCTCCTCCTCCCTCCCCCTCCCTCCTCAGGTGAACAGGTGTACATGTGAAGCCGCAGTCATGCATGCACGACTACGAAAGACAAGACACACGGAGGCAGCACCTCATCCAGGGAGGCTGCTGTGACTTCTCGATCCTCGCTTGACTTGCGCCCTGACTCAATTCCAGCTCTCCCACCCATCTTCCCATATGCTCTGGATGGATAGGGAGGTCCTTCCTCCTCCCTCCTCCTCCGACCCCACACAGGGGGACGGGGGCATATTATTTCACAGCCCCTCAGAAGTAACATCCTCCTTCATCCTCCTCGCGTATTATCCCTCCTGCCTCATCCTCCTCCTCCTGCCTCCTCCTCCCTCCTTCTCCCTCCCCCTCCCTCCTCCTTCCTCCTCCTTCCTCCTCCCACCTCCTCCCTCCCCCTCCTCCCTCCTCCTCCTCCCACCTCCTCGCGCCGCCTCCTCCCCCAGCATCCTCCCTCATCCTACTCCCCCCTCATCCTCCTCCCTCATCCTCCTCCCTCGCCCTCCTCCCTCATCCGACGAAAAGGCGAACGGGGAGGCGGGAGAGGACGAGGGAGAAAGGCAGGGAGGATAAGGAGAATAAGGTTGAGGCGGGAAAGGATTATTTTTCCCGCCCAATCCCACTGTCCGAAAGTACGCGCCAAGCACCGGTAGCCGAACCAAACGACGGCGCGCCCTGACCGAAGAGTAATGCGGCTTGCCGCCCAGAAACTGCGACCGACGTGCGATAAACGAATGCGTGCATCAGACGCAAATGCCACACGCAGAACACACACAAGCACCCACCCACGACAACGGCAACCCACCAAAACAAAACAAGACCCCTAAAGAAACAACGCCGTGTCCTAAAAATGCAGCGCCGCCGAGCGAAACAAAACGCGGGCGACCAACTCGCCTGCAACGATCAGCATGCTGCAGATCAAGACCTCGAAAAGGCTCCGACAGGGAAGAGGGGCAGAGAGAAAAAGAGAGAGAGAGAGAGTACCAGCCGGGGAAGGAAATGGCACCTGCAGTGGCTTACGTAGCGTCAACATGCATTTTGGAGCATGCTTGCAGGAGCAGCACTAGATGCTCTGGCGCGGATACACGCGATGCTACGTCGCCAGGGAGCTCGAATGCGCGCACGGGAGCAGAATTCAAACTTGAACGCCTTCGCTGGCGTCGCCGGCGCGCGCAGAATTCAACCTTGAACGCCTTCGCCGGCGTCGCCGGCGCGCCAACACCGCACGAACCTACCGTACCCCCCCTCCCCTCCTTTCCAAAGGGGGGGGGGCTTAAGCTACCCCCCCCCTCCCTTGGCGCCGCCCTGCTGGAAGCTACCCCCCCCCCTCCCCCCCTTTCGTGCAAGGGGGGGGGGGATGCTTGGAAGCTACCCCCCTCCCTTGACCGCCCCGGAAGCTACCCCCCCCTACCCCCCTTTCCAAAGGGAGGGGGGTGCTTAAGCTACCCCCCCCTTCCCTTGGAGCCGCCCTGCTGGAAGCTCCCCCCCCCCTCCCCCCCTTTGTGCCAAAGGGGGGGGGGCTTGGAAGCCCCCCCCCTTCCCCCTTTGGCCGCCGATCCGACCTGGACTACCACAATCCTCCCTCCTCCTCCTCCTCCTCCTCCTCCTCTTCCTCCTCTTCCTCCCTCCTCCTCCTCCTCCTCCTCCCTCCTCTCATCATCATCCATCATCATCATCATCATCATCATCATCATCATCATCATCATCATCATCATCATCATCATCATCATCATCATCATCATCATCATCATCATAATCATCATCATCATCATCATCATCATCATCATCATCATCTGCAGCGCCCCAGATCGGCGGCACTGGCCGGAGGCCAGCACAATATACACATATATGTATATATGTATGTATGTATAAATATATATCGACCATGTATATATACATGATCGTAGGTATGTCTGTCTGTCTGTCTGTCTGTCTGTCTGTCTGTCTGTCTGTCGGATCATCGATCATTCTGTCTGTATGCATGCATGCGTGCATGGTGAATGCATGTATGTATGCATGCATGCATGTGTCTTTGCATGTATGTACACATGCATGCATGCTTGTATGTATGTACGCTATATACATACACATATATAAGTGTATGTATATGTAGGTAGGATATGTAAATGTATATGTAGATGTTTATGTATATGTAGATGTAACTGTATATGTGTATGTGTATGCATATGTATGTGTATATGTATATGTATATGTACATGTACATGTACATGTATAGGTTAATGTAGATGCTGATGTAGATGTATATGTATATGTTGATGTAGATGTATATGTGTAGGTTGATGTTCTGACCGTCGCCGTACTAATGCAGGGTCCCGAGCGGGCTCTCTTCGGGGTCTCTTGAGGCAATTGTCAGGCCGACTTGGGGGCCACCTGGGCTGTCTGGAGCCCTCTGAGAAAGTCTTGGTCCGTCAGGGCGATCTTGGGGACCACTTGGGGCTGTTCTGAAGCGGTCTCGGGGCCCAATTGGGGGCTGTCTTAGGGCCCTCCTGGGCCGTCTGGAGCGCTCTGGAGACTGAGAAGCCGCGTACGCGAAAATAGCACTGCAACCTGGTTACGGAAAACCCATGACTGTTGCCTCCTGGGCGCCTCTTGGGAGTCGTCTTCGGGCCCACTTGGGCCATCTGAGGAGCCCGTTGGGCCGGCGGCACTCTGGAATCAGCCTCCCCAGCCGCACCCGAAGTTGTACCGGACTAGTTCTGTATGCGCATACCCATCGGCCGAAAGAAGTAGGTAGAACCATGAAGTAGAAAGGCGTTGGAAGTAGATTGGGTTTCTGCCTGCCTCCTGTAGAAGAGGGAAGAGGGAAAACCAATCGACTCTTGAAGTAGGAAGGCGGCTAAAGCAGATTGGGCACTGGGAATCACAGACTACCTACTTTTAACGGCTGAGGGGTAGGTTTTCAGTGCATCAGTGCAGCTATTCGTATGTATGTCCATATGTATACATGTGTAAATCCAGTTGTATGTGTATATAAGTATGTGTAAATATGCATATGTGTGTATGTATCTATACATATATGGCATATATGTATATACAGTCCTTGGGCCCAGGATAACTCTGGCCAGGCACGGGGCGATGTCTGCGGCGAGGAACGCCTGCTGCAAGCGTGCCGCAGCGGCGGCCCTGGCGGCCCAGCGACGCACGAACGGCGAGTCGCTCTGCCCCCAAGGGGGCGGCAGGCTGCAGAGAGATCGCACGGCTGGAGCTGCCTCTGGCGCCCCGCGCCGCCGCGTGGCGGGCCAGAGCCGGCGGCGGCGACACGCTGCAACAGAGGATCGAACAACTTCACTAGACGAGCGCGTTCCACTACTCGCAAGGTGACTACTCGCAAATGGCCCGGATCCGCCGGGGGGAGATCTACGAGAAATTACATCGGAGCAGGCGTCCGTTGTTCGCACGTTTGCGAGCAGGCACTTTGCGAGCAGCGGAACGCGCTCGGCGGTTCACAGCATAAGCACACACTTTTGGAGGTCCGCGCGGACTGTGTTGGATCGGCGCTGGACCCCAATGCCTGGCGCGCGGAGCGCGCCAGGGGGCGGCGTCGGAGGCGCTTCCATTGGGGTCCAGCGGTCCAGCGCCGATGTGCGAAATCCGCACGGAACTCCGGGCACCCAGTGTTAAGTCGGGCCTGTCCCCCATACAGGGAGAGGAGAGATCGGCCGGGACGGGCCCCGGGACCCAGACCTCCGACGTCTTGCAAAAAAATCAAGGCCGAAGTTTTTGGATATGTTCGGCCTCCAGAAGCGCTCAACAGGCCCCAGGACCGCCAAGAAACGACTCAAATGAAAAACCTCCCCCACACGAGCCAAAGAGGAGAGGGGGGGGGAGCTTCAAGACCCCCCATCTTTTGCATCAAGGGAGGAAGGGGAGGGGGGGCTTCCAAAGCCTCCCCCCCCTTTCAAAGGGGGGGGTGGCTCACCCCAGCTCCACTAAAAGGAGGGAGGGGGGGGTAGCTTGGAAGCCCCCCCCATCTCCGGCCACGAAAAGGGAACCCAGGGGCCGCCAGGATCTTAATTTAAGAACGTGGTGTTCGTTCTTATTTTGTTTTAGCATAACATGTTAATTTAGAAGGTTTTCGCCATATTCGATCGTTTCCATACGCTGTAGCTATCGAGTACTGCGCACGACGCGGCCCAACGCTCAGTGCGAGGATCTCGCAAATTCCTCAGGGGCCAGAGGGCGTGCCAACATTTCTCAGGCAGCCAAGGAGATAGCTGCCCGACGCGCAAAATGATCTGCAGGGCAAGCCTTCATGGCCGCTTGTTTGGGCCAGCTGGGGCCACCCGATTGGCCCCTCATGAATTCTGAAGAAACGAAATCCTCGCATTGAACGTGGAACGGCGCCGCGCGCAACAATCGGTATATAGAGACCTAGTGAAGATGCCCAAACACTTCACAACAATCCAATTATGGGCCCCATCCATCCATCGGATCGGAGGCGCCGCAGAAGGAGGAGGAGGAGGGGAAGGAGGGGGGGAGGAGGACGAGGAGGAGGAGGAGGAGGAGGAGGAGGAGGAGGACCAGTGTCACCAACGATGCTGAAAATACCCCCACTTCAAATTCCCTCTCCCACATGCCCCTACAACGGTTCATTCCCATTGAGGGAGCTGCTTCTTCGGACGACAACTGTCTGAAGACCCTGAAACATGCCAGAACCTTTGTCTTCGGGGTTGCAACGTCACGGGTCAACCTGACTGCTGCGTCTTG